ATACACTCGCACGAAGATTTAGTTTTTGGGATACAGCAGTCCCATTTGGATCAAAAAATAGCCACAATGTTGTACAATTAAGCCTCGACGAGGATAAATACTATCTACTCACACCATATCCAACACTGATGCAACCAATAAAAAATTTTTTACCTGAAAGTATAAGAGATATTGCCCGGAATCCGAATATCGATTTACAATCGATCGGCATCTACTCAAAATCAGACATACAACACCACATTCCTACACAACAATTTCAGGAACTACTCACAAAAATGGACACAATCTAACGACAATCAATAGATCAAAATTTACGCAAACTTGCCAAAACAGCAGGTTTTTCAGACATTTACGCACCAGATTACGGCGGATATCTTAAAGACATTAAAGATTACATTTATTTAAATGGTGAAAAATATCGACCGCAGGATATATCACCAATCAATATTTTTAGTTTTGTAATACTGAAAAACGAACTTTTTGCCTTTCTAGGATGGCCCTATTACATCTTAGAAAGATTGACTATTTTATACGCAATGTTTAATAACCGGATTACTTTTCTCGTTATTGAAAGATATCTATAACACATGCGCAATACATACACAAGTAAACAGACAAGCAAGCGTAGCACGTATACTTTTTGCAGGAATTTTTGGAAATTTTTCTACATCAAAAAACAAAATATTTTAAGATGCACAAATAAAAGAATGTAAAAGAAAGAACAAAAATATCAACTACATCAAACACATATGATGAATCACAACACAATACAAACGCATCACCCGCAGCACCATCATTACCAAATTTAAATCATAATCACCCATTATCACTAGTACCACGAAATTTTAGAAAACTAGCACTCACAAATATTACAAGTTTAAGACCTAATTATACACAAAGTCCAATTCACCATTTGTAACACAACAATCTCAAAGTGCCGATACATATGAAAAAATAATTGAACAGCCCCATACCACAAAGTTTCGATCTCAGAACAATCATTTTTTTAGCCCACGATCAGCCGACAAGTTGGACCCCTTCTCCGCTCAATTTTCCATCCAGCCAATCTCCGAAACCCCATTCCCGTCATCCCACTTTTTGCTTTCCGGCCACGTGAATCACCCCATATTAACAGATCATCCGTCATGGATTCTGATGCTAACTCAGACATCACAGTTTTTCACACAATTTCCCAATTGGAAAATTCAGATTTAGAATTATCGTCAACCATAGCGTCATCAAACCCACCAACTCCCACAACTTCTACAGATTTCACCCCTTCTTTAGCCCAACCCTCAACATCAACCCAATCATCATCCACTACTAACCGTGCATACAGAACCTTCAAAAGAAAATTTCCCAATCATCCGTTTCCCTTCAAACCCGGAATAGCCCGAGACTACATAAACCACCCTGACCATACAAATACTAGCCAAATTCTCCAATTATATTTACCCCTCTTCCCTCAATATACATTTAATCACTCCGACCCTAATACTGAACAACCCCACTTTGTCGATGAGCATGTATTAATCCCCACACTCCTTTGGACATCATATTATTTTTTCTCAAACCCACTTTGTTTACCACTCACTAACACACCGCAAGAAATAGAAAGAAATAAAAATGACCTTTTCAGACTAACTACAGCACTAACACCTCGACAATTTACACACGTAGGATACAAAAAACTATTAAAAATGTTCAACGCACCCCGAGCTAATGAGTATTCCATCGAGAACTATGACCATAATATCATCCGACCTAACCAAGACCAATTCCTCGACGACGACAAGTTCGCTAACCCGCATATTCTTACAAATTTATTTTGACTTACATGCACCATCACGAAAATTCCATCACCGATATCAATTCATTGACTTCAAATACACATCACCGTTTTTTCTTAATTTCACATATTGCATTAAAAATACTAACTTTCAAGGCATCTTCCGTAACTATAACCCTATAACCCAAATGTATATATTTTGTCCACTAACCAAGACTTTCAATGTAGAAAAATCCCGACCACTAATTGTCCTGCATGAATACATACAACCTGTCGAAGTTTCAATTTTAGAATTTATCAACAATAATAAATATAACCATAAGCTTTTTAACCTATTTTAGAACACAACGCATGAATTTTCCATTGGCACTGAAGAACTAAAGACCATTAAAGCACTCCAATTGCTTTGGCCACTGCTTCATACTAAAAACATCATTCGCATGTTAGCAAAGCTACTAACCACATTTGATGCTATACACGATATCTTCCCTCATGGATTCTTTCCCGATGACTAAATATTATGAATAAAAAAATTTAAAAACTAACAAATACGAACTAAAACTAACCATTCTTTATAAAATGTTTTTAAATCACGATCATCTACAAACAGAAAAACCAAATAAAAATTTCTTCTCCGAAGTAGTAAACTGATGTATAAATTCTTTTCCCCAATGTATAAAAACTAAATACAAGAAAACGATTTAATAATTTCAATCCACACAAAGCAGTAAATTTGAAATTTTCAGTAGAAAATTCATACAAATGCAAGCAGTACTAACCTTTTGAAAACAAAATTCAGTCGCACACAAATTCTATCCACACTCGCACAGCTCGCCCACGACGAATTGTTCAAAATAACGATTTCCAGTTTTAACTTTCACTAACAACAACTCAAACTAGTAATAACAAGTTTCAAACTTTTTTTAACCCGGTTGGAAAGGCATTATATAAAAATCCCAACTAACCAACGCAGCTTACTAAACACCATAAACCACAAACTAACAGTATGACTAAGAAAAGAAAACCCACGGTACCCAAACCGGATTAAACCAGCATAAAGAACTAGATAATTTATTCTTCTGAAGACTACCGACAAGTCTAAAAAAGAAAGAATAAAACACCAAAAAGTCGAAAGACAAACCCAAACCAAACAATTTGATTTTCGAGAAATCAAAACACAACCAAAACAACAAAAGGAAAAACCAGTAACAAACACAACATAAAAGGTTCACACAGAACAGGACCCCATAAAAAACCAGCATGAAATCATACCCTCACTCCCGCCCTAACCCACCAGAAGAGGACGTCCTGAGCATGCTTTTTAGCCGGCCTAACCCACCGTGCTAGAAAACCACGCTCTGTGACCCACTCCCTATTTTTGACAAGAGCTACTGAAGTGTGAGTCACTCTTTAAAAGTAACAGAACTAAATTAAAAGCTTTTGTGATAAGAACTAATAACAAATCATAACTAAAAAGAAAACTAACTAAAAATTTATTTATGTAAATTATATAATGCAGTAATATAGAGCATACACAATCACGAAGACGAGGATCAAGAAAGTAAGACGACCCCATCACATTCAACCCACAAAATGGCTAAACACAACTGATATGCCGCCCACAACCACAAGTAAAAGGATTTGAAGTACGACTTGACATCGAAGTAAAGGAATTCATTGAATCAGACCAATGACCACCTCGATGCTCAAGTATACCTACAGATCCGAGTTACAAGGCATTGCCTCCAAACTAGAGCTTCACGCCATTCCCTAACAAGATCGAAACACAGTTCTCCACGCCGAACAAGAACAAACGATCATAACAAACCATTTGGAAATCAGATTGATTTTGTTGGCGATCACAGTCATTGCTGAATGACAGAATGACATCTACGATTCCAGCTTCGTGGAGCTTCTTCCTCCAAGAACGGAATAGAAATGATGCTCGCGAAATACAAACGACTATCATCCATCCTCCATTACAGATAGAAGTTAAAGAGAAAAAAACTCTGTAAACCCCGGATGGGTGGAACCAGATCCAAACTATAATTTATTATTGGTTATAATTTAGATATTTTATCCCCATAAAATTTTAAAGACTAACCAATCACACTCCATCAAACTAACAACCCACCTATTTGTAAGTGCTGAAATTACTTGTAATTTCAGCACCAGGGCGATTTGAATTTAACTTACAACCTAGTTGCTTTCTCCAAGAGACCGGCTCGTAACGAAACCAGTATACTCTAGATCTATTGAGACTAAGAGATATAAGAGTAAGATTAAGATTGGTATTAGACTAAGAAGTTGCACGAATCTATCCGGCCAAAAATAAGATAGCGTGACGAGCAGACGGTGTACCCTATCTGAAATTACTCTATGAGTTGACCTCCCATCTTAACTCAATTAACAATTTATTCTTTTTGAAATTCTGATTATTATCAATTTGAAAACTAATGTTTATCTGTTTACTTAACTTTGATGTGGATGTTTCTTTTTTTTTACTTTGAATAACAGAACATTTTTGGGACCATAATTCTAAACTAGCTTTTTGATGGGACTGTACTTCTTAACGTATACCAAAACTAACTTCACGGAGAAAACAGTAGTTCAGAGGGAAAAAAGTTACCTATGGTCCGAAGGCTGATTTAGAAATGCCAGTTGCTGGCAGAATAGCTTTTTCAAAAATTAAAGATTTTTTGAGATAGAGATCAGCTTAATTAGTTCGTTCGTTTATGATCACACGGGCCAATCTTTTTAAAAACATCAAAACAACACGTTAATTACTTAAGTACGTATCACTAATCACGATAGAAACAGAAACATTGAACATTCAAATAGTATTGATAAATAGGCTAAATCGGATATGCTTAGTGTTTTGGGAGAGCTCTGAATTCTGATTGGCTAATTAAATTTCGACGATTTGCTCCAACTTCCTAAAAACCCCTTTGTTGACATGTTTTTTTCTCAAAAATTTGCCTGCGGCGCACAACATTTTGTCAGCGTGAGGTCTTTAAATTGATTTGGAGACCTCACAAAATCTATTTGCTCGACCTAAAAAAATACCTTTTTTAAATCTGCCCCCCCCCCCATTGAGAAGAATGCGAAGAAAACTTATGCGAAGAAAAAAATTTTTTAAATAGCTCCGAACTTTTTTTTCCAATGTGTTCTTGTCAACTTATGAAAAAATTTGTCAAGTTCATAAGCCCTGGATACTCTGTTTGTAACAAAAAAGAAGACCTCCAATTTCAAGGATGCAAAAAGCAGAGAGGTAATCCGTCATGCCTGAGACAAGAAACAAGTAGCCGAAAGGAACAAATTGCCGAAAGTCATGTTAGCCAATCAGAATTCAGAGTTCTCCAAAAACACAAAGAAGACCCCATTTAGACCAAAAAATTACTGCAGAGGAAAACGTATAAATGTTGAGCTAAAACACCGTGTTTTGGATATTGGGCTAGAACAGCGTATTTTGGAGTTTTTGATATAGTGTTAAGTAGCTTGAAAACTGCCATTTGGTTTTTCGGGAATGGAAAAACACACACAATTGGTTGATAAGAAGTTAAAGAAGCGTGGATAAATTTTTCCTTAAAAATATTCGAATGGGCGCGATAGTATTGCTGATTTTTAGATGTTTAATTAGATCAACCAGACAAGAAGCTCTCTTGGAGCACTTTCAATAAGGGTAGAGCACTATCTGATTAATGCATTCGCGATACTTCGTCACTGACAACGTTAGCATCAAGAAAATCATAATTTGCCGAACAGATTGCGTCAAGAGTTGCGTAATATTTAGTTATGTAACCATGGAACAAACGCTTTCGTTGAGCATTATGGTACCATTGATTGCGTCGGTTAGGAAATCGTCCATCGCTTTGAGACTCACTCCGTGAATTGACGAAATGAGCTGGATGATTTTACAGTATCGTAGTGGTTGAGTCGGATAATAGCTCTTCACATAAGAGCATAGAGTTCTCATTACTCTATTTTGGATGCCAGTTGCTATTTTTTGGCTGCTGTTCTGTATGCTGTCGCGCCGTGCAAAGGTCAGAAGTATGGCCTGGAGCAGGGAGATTTCAACTATGTCCAAACCAATTGATTTAATATGTCGGATAAAGAATAAGGTCATAGCAAAAAGATCCATGTCCAGGCCGATTCGCTGACCCTCCTCCTTAGATATTAACCTCCCGATGGTGAAGCGTATTTTCTCGTCATGCGGAGCAGAGCGCCATGCAAGTCTAAGAATAAGGATGTCCAGGAAACATTTCTTCAGAATGGTTTTCTGGTCATCTTGTGGAATTTGGGCAAAGTCTGGAACTTTTTGAGCCCATTGAGTTACGTAATTTTGCTCATCGAAACCCGACAGATACAGAACCGCTTTTTCATGATTGACAGAAGATGGTATCTCGCCGTCTGCTATATCTGGCATGGGATGGTCTTCCGGAATCTTATCAGCTTCAATTCCTGTGAGATCTTCAATCAATTGCAAGTCATCGGCACTCAGTGCATTCTCATTTAAGTTTTTTTCCGAGAGGTCTGAATCTTCTGGACTTTCTGAACATTTAGAGCCAGTGAAAGGGGTTGAATCTGAATCTGGCGTTTTGGTTTTTTTTTCGTCATTGTGTCTGTACTTAGTCAAATTATTTTTACTCATTCCCACTTCGAGACATAGATCGTATCTGCATTTCTGACAGTCGTTTCTGGTTTTTTTCTCAATCAGACATCTTTTTTCACCATTCACTATCCGTATCGGAGGTTTCTGTGCTCTGGTCAATAGTTGCTTGCACTTGGAAGTAGGTTTGCGTTTGATAGACCTTTTGAAGAAGGCTTTGCATCCCTCGCAAGACAATGCGCCATAGTGCTTTCCGGAAGCTAAGTCCCCACACACTTTACAAAGGGGAGGTTCCGCTTTCCGAAAATCTTCACCACAGTAAATTTTCTCGTCCTGCTCGAACTCAGTTTCCAATTCGAATGTGTCGTCCGGCTCCATTTTAAGCTAACTGAACAGTTTCATTCAAGTTTTATACTACTGAGATTTGCCAAATTTAAACATTAATTTTCATGACAGAAAAAAGTTTTTTGAAGATTTTTTTAGTTAACCATTCAAAGTATGTATTTAAAAAAAAAAAGTTTATTTGAAATTTACAAAATTAAAATTGAATTGTACGCAGTCAATAGACCACTGAAAATCGGTTTGTAATCGAATGGTTATAATGAAATACAGACCGACCTTGTTAGGACTCTAGCCGTGGCACTTCAGTTGCTAGAGGGATACTGCTTGGCAGATGTAGCTTGGAGAGACTGACGTTAGGAGGTACCAATAAGTTGCTATGAAGTGATTATTCTAATTACGTAGTTTGATTCAGTTTTGCTGATAGATTAGTTGGCTCTCTTTTTAATATAATGACGCGATCAAATGAATCAAGCCAGAAATTGATTGTAAGTTTTCTTTCTCTTGTAGTTTTGAGGTCGACTAAGTTCACAGATTTATTCAAAAATTTCCAACTGTCAATGAAGCACACACCTTTTTTGCTTAAGTTTATGAGCGTGTTTAAAGATACCTTCTCATTCGTATACAGTCAATTTTTAAAAATGGGTTGAGATCTCCATTTAAAACTGAGAAGGCAGTCAATTTATTAAAAAGCAATTCAATAGCGGGCTCATATATCCAACGCACAAATGAGTTTTCGTTATGTGCAAAAAAGAAATTAAAAATTGGGATAAAATAGTCTGGTTAAATTGTGGAGCAGAAATTAGCTAGAAAAATCAAAAAAGCCCTGCTGATTAGAAACGAACCGGAAACACAGTGAAGTATCGCAGTACTGTACCACACTCCAATGAAAACAGCACAACAGAATAAAGCGTAAAACGGAAAAAGAATTAGAGGTGAAATTAAACGTTTCTTTAATCCGAAAATATTGAAAAGCAACAGAAATTTATCTTTCAATATTTTTTGGGATACATAAAGAGGAAGGAATGTAAATGACGTTTTTCCGTGACTGCTCCAACTAAAAGTTTCAGTTTGGGCAGCCAAGCGATAAAAAAAAGTCCACAGAGAAATGGCTGATAAAACAAGTTAAATAGTTCAGGTTTCTCATCCAAGTATATTTGAGGCTGAATGTTGTTGTGAAACAGAAATAATAATTAGGGCAAACATTCAATAAGAACCTTTTAGCTGACAAATAAATACCATTCGAATGTTTTATTTCAAACAGTAGCTTTTCCTTAAAGTTCTGTAAACAAAAAAATAATCAAATCTTTGTATGTTATTCTGTTTTTTGAAAAAAAAGGAGCATATACTAAAAAGTGCACACTTTTCTAGGGAAAACAGATAACAGAAACTAAAATTTGGCTGCGGGTTTTAGACATTTGCATAGTTTTCTATGAACGATCGAAAAAGTATAAATCGAAAAAGTACAATTGGAAATCGAAACCGAAAAATCGAAAAATTATAAATTTGAGAGATGGAAATAGGATGTTAGTAACTGTATGCTGTCGTTGAATGTTGAAGGAGTCATCTCAAGTTGGCTACGTCACTGTGTTAAAAGCTAAGAGACACTTGAGCGGGTTGATGGTTTGGGGTTTTATTAAACTGATGCGGCGGGTATAGATTGCAAAGGATTGGGTGGGTTGTGTACATCTCTATGGGATGCGGTAAGTAACCGTCTCTCAATTGTGACTAAAAATCTAATCTTTCAACTGTTTGCGTATTTGAACGCTTTACCTCAGATTTAAAACTAAAGTCTAAATTAAGAAAGTACTTCTTAAATTAGAAGGAAAAACGGTAGCCGTGCTTTTTAAATAGACACCCGACTCGAGAGGAAGGGAAACGAGAGAAACGTGACAAAAGATAAACATTGATTGACATTTGTTTTGATTTCAGATAAAATCAAAACAAAAACTGTTCAGACAAAAAACAGTGTTTATTTCTGCGTTCCTATTGATATGTTTTTTTTTGGTTTGTGGGAAGATCTTGGTGATATTACGCTGCGAGCTTTAAGAGCGCTTGTCGAATACTGTTAGCGTTGGAAGAAGGTAAAATTGGTATCAAAAAAATTTATCACAGAGCCAAAGGGTGGACGGAGGGAAAAGCGGCCTCCCCAACTTCGCCAAATCCGCCCCGTTGGTTCATCCTTGGTATCTCCTAGACATTCCCTTCCACTCTATTGAGAACAGGGGGATTGTAGTTTTCTTAATCTGTGCTGTGGTCGTTAAAACCAATCAGAAAGCAAAAAATGTGTATTTCCCAGCAAACCTAAAGCAAAAAAGCACTAACTATTTCAAGCATTTGAAACAACAATGAACTTAAAGCAACGGAACAGTTGACACTATACCTGCACTGATAAAAATAACATACGATAGTTTTAGTATGAAAAAAGTATGAAGACTTAAATGAGATCGATTTTAGGATGAAAAAAATACGAAAGTTAAATAACAATGATTAAGATTGATCTGGATCAGTTTTAAATCAACTTAAATTGATCTAAAATCCCAGCTATGAAAAATCCATCCCAATTGATTTTAAATCGATTTAAGTCCAATTTTTTAGTTTTTAACTGTTCTTGTTTTAAGGGAGGTTAAATAAGATTTAAATCAATTTAAATAAGTTTTTAAGGCAAATTTCATCGTTTCCAAGTTTGCGTTGCATTTATTTATTGCCCATCATTTTTAATTTACGTCCATAGCGTATGGTAGCATAATAAACAAGATTAAACAATTTTTTTAAATATCGATAACATTTTATGTTTTCCTTGCATATTTTGAGCTCAAATTTGATTTATATTGACCATTTTCTTGATTTGTTACATAGATTTTATCCCAATATCTGATTTACAATGGTAGTTTTTGATGATTCATTGCAATTTTTTGTGCTCAAAACTTCATACATTGCGACTTTTTTCTTGATTTGTTATTTGGAATGTTGCCCATAATCTGAATTTATGAATGATTTTTTTAATGAGTAATTTCATATTTTTCAGCTCAAAGTCTGATTATAGTTTTTTAAAGCTAAAAAATCTGGCACGTGTGTTTTTTTATTTAAAAAAACAAGAATGAAATATTTCAATTATTTTTTTTAAATAGCATGCTTTTTTCCCTCGTGTTAGCAAAAAAATGAATGGTTTTTTCTCTTTGTCACCCCCTGCAAAATGTTACAAGTAAAAGTTTTGTTAACTTTGTTCGATTGTTATGAAAATTGACATATCATCTAATTTGGTTATGACAAACATATTTGGTCTTCATAATTAACCTTGTAAAACCACTCGTTACACCATAAAATTCATGTTGTGTGAGGTGGAGGAAGGAAAAAGAGCCAAATTGAGTTTAATAAGTCAAAAATTCCATCCAAATCAACTTAAATTGATTATTTAGACGCTTAACTTGATCCAAAGTGTTCAAGAAAAATCGAGTTAGATCAATTTTAATTGGTTTTAAGTGAGTTTTTGATGGATTTAAGTGTGATTCGGATGGATATTACTTAAAGTAGGTAAAAGTCGATTTTTTACTATGAGTAGGTAAATCTATCCAAATCGATTTAAATCGAAACTTTAGACACTTAAATCGATCCAAAGGTTTCAGAAAAGATCGATTTTAATCGATTTAAAACGGATTTAAGTGAGATTCTTATAGATTTAAGTGAGATTCGGATTGATATTAGTTGGTCGGTAAATCCATCCAAATCGATTTTTTGGACACTTATATCGGTCCAAAACTTTCGAGAAAGGTCAATCTAATTCAATTTAGAGTACTTTTAAGTTCGCAAAATGTACATTGTTAATCAATTTGGATGATTTAAAATCTATTTAAAAACAAAATAAATCGATCCGAAATCATTTTTGTGAGTGAGGGTAAGTTTTGTAAAGGAAAATAAAGAGAAAAAAAGATAGAAGCAGTTATCGAGATGAGTGACAGTTTTAGCTACAGTAACTCACGGGTAGAGATCGTTATGCCAGCAGATACAACAACTCCTTTTATCAAGTTGTCGATCAAATAATTTATTTAAACACTTTGAACTTTTTGTTGATCAAGTTTTAAGTGTGAAAATTTGAGTCGTATATAACATTAATGGTGTACGGCAAATCAGACGACAGATCTTAACCGTTTTTTGATGGGACTGTAAGACGACGCTACACGCATTTCGCCCATTGTAATTAACCCACTGTGAGAATTAAGAACCGCTTAACTTCGAACAGCACATGTTAAATGATTTAACGTTCATTTGCCGTCTTAATGTCATGCCGCTTTATTTTCCTGTCGTCTCATTTACCTAGCACCGCAATTATTACGACCAATTAGTTTGGCTCAATTCAATTGGGAATAGTTTTCAGAGCGAGTTATAAGACAACGCAATAATTTTTCGCAATACACTTTCAGTATGTAAGACGAGCAATTTAGATAGCCTAGCTCGTTTCAGAGCGAAAAAAGATTCCGGTTAGTTTAGTATGGTGTAGTTTAGTATGGATTTTTCTGTGAACACGAAGATTTAGAGAGCGATCCCTCCACTTATCAATTGTTCTTTTGGAAATTGGTCTGATTTTTAAAAACCACCCCAAGCATATATGTTCCTCGATATCTTCGAAAGTCGGAACGAAAAAATCGGGAAGCGTATTGCAAAAACTGCGCCCGTGGAACTCCTTTTGCGGATCTGGTGATCTTTAGTGCTCACTTGAAAACTATTCAGATCACGACCAATTCAAATTATTAGTACAAACTGGATAGGTTTTTCCAAATTTGAGCATGGTCTCGTCAGCACTGTCTGACCTATAATTGTTTGCTTGCAAGAAGTAACTGAAATATGTAGTTGAAACTGAAAATGACAAAAAAAAGTTTCTTAAATGTCTCTTAAAAAAAGAAACCACTAAGAGTTTAAATGATTTCAGTTGAGCTACAATTAATTGATTCACGCGTTTTTTTTCTGCATACAACAAAATAGTTAAAAGGTGGCCAGTCCGTAGTTTCAAACTTGCATCTCATCACATTGTCGATTTTCTGAAAAAAAGATGAGCGAACAACTTGTTATCAAAATTATCGTAAAAAGTATCTGCATATTTTCGATTGCCGCGAAAAAGATCTGCAGTTTTTTTTTGAGCGTGACAGATAATTTACATTTTCAATCGTGCTGTCGTCGACACTGTCTGATATAAATCAATAATTGATGATCTGCTAGTAAGGTTGACTTCCAATGCCTCGATTCACAGCCATATTTTTAAAAGATAATCTTAAAAAAATCTATAGCTAAAAATCAAAAGAAGTTTGCAAAAAAGTTTGCACTTCTTCTCAAGTGCGTCTAGTGAAGATTTTATGGAGAATCCATCAGCTCATCTGGATTGACGTAATTGTGTAAAAAAAGTGAGTTAAAAACCTAATTTTTATCTTGTGCTTAACCTTTGCTTGTATTTATTTCTTTCAATTTATGTTCTCATTTTATGTAAATTGTTTTTTTTTGCTATTTCGAGAGATTAAGGTATAAGTAGTCAATCAAAACTTGAAGATAGCCGCCTATCACAAAGAAAGTAAAAAAAGTTGAAGCTTTCTGGGGGCAAGCGCCTAGCGGGATG